ATTGTGTCAAAAAAAAAAGAGAAGAGAAGAGGAGACGACATTTTATCATTTATTACACAAATTCTCAGAGGAAAATTATTATTACACACAGAAGATGTCTATTTTTTAAAAAGCAATCATTTTTCAGCAAATAAGTTTTTTTTAGATTAAATTTAAAATTCGAAAAAAATCAATTCTTTATTCGTAATTTTTACTCTCTAAATATAAAGAAGGCAAAAAGTCAGTCACTAATTTAAATTGGTAAAATGTTTTAACATTTTACTAATTTTTAACATTTTTTAACATTTTACTAATTTAAATTAGTGACTGACTTTTTGCTTTTGGAATTTTTGATTAGTAAATTTTACTAATTAAGTAGTAAATAATACTAATTCGTTAGTAATTCATTTTGGTTTTCAAATATCAAATCACAATTTTTTGTGTTAATTTTGATTTTTTAAATTTTATTTAAAAAATTTTTTAAAAATACTTATTTGAATTGTAGACATAAAATATTTTTTTTGAATCAGAAAAAACAAGTTTAAAAATAATCTATGTTGTCGATTTGAGAATTATTTCACATTCCTGAAAATACTTTTATTTTGAAATGAGAGGGTGTTGCTTTGCAAAGATGGGAAAAGTGTCTCTGCAAAAGCCCAAAAACGACCTGCTCAGTAATACACTCATATTCTTTTGAGGATTTGGATATATATATAAGATTTGAGGAATGGTCAAATTATGCAGCATATTTCCACAAGAAGTTGAAACGTGTCTTTTCCTCTCTTGAGAGACGTATAGACAGAGAGAAAAAAAAGAAACTTTCAAACGAGGAAATATTTTGATCTTTGCGAAGAAAGAAAAAATTTTTATTTTCTGATATAAAAAAGGGACAGAGAGAGAGTGAAAAAGAGTGTTGGCACGAAATTTCCGGAATAGCTTTAAAAAACATTATATCGAATGTCAATATAAATTTATTCGAATCAATCTTGAGCAAATCGTTTACAAGATCTATTTTCCGTTAACATGTAGGCTTTTAGCTTGGCAAGCATGTATCACATATTGTCATCGATCAGGCATAAACTCAATAAAAACTTTTTCAATGAAACTGTGAAAAGAACTCTCTGCTCGCGATTACAATCGCGCTATTACTGGGGAGGAATTTTAAAACGATTTTTTTTTCTCATTTATCGAATTTTTGTTGATACAGAATAAATAACTAACTAACTAAATAATAGTTGACGAATAAAAATATAATAACTTTAATTAAGATCGAAAATTGAAAATCAAAGAAGTAATTTTTTATCATTTTCTTTTCGTGAAAATAAAATGAAAAAATCAATAACTACTCTCTAGATTTGAATTAGTAAAAGCCGAGGTGAAAACTAAAAATGCTTACTAATTTGAATTAGTGACTGACTTTTTGCTTTTGAATCAGTAAATTTTACTAATAAATTAGTAGAAATTACTATTTAGTAGTAAAATTTACTAATTCAAAAGCAAAAAGTCAGTCACTAATTCAAATTAGTAAACATTTTTAGTTTTTACTAATTCAATAATTTAGAGAGATATAAAATTTATAAGTTATAACAGAGGAGTGAGGCTCTTTTATTAGTAATTATTTTCAGTGGAATAAAATCTAGGTACTAACGAAATTGACCTGCAGAAGAAACCTGACAAGAATTACCTCGTCATCTTAGGTGGTTTTCTAATCCAATAAGGAACATTTGTATTTGCCACAAAGATTAAATATATATAACTTGGTGACGATGACCGGAATGGAGAACAAAATATTTAAAAAGAAATCCCATTAGGTTTTAATAAAGTTGTACAATGACCAACTTTTTTAAAATTATTTGAAGTTTTTATTTTCTAATATATAAATACTATATTTAATTGAAGAATTTACGAATAATTGAAATTTCTCGTCAATTATTTATCTCCATTAAATGATTTTCAATATTTATTATTTTAATGAAATTTTCCAAAAGAATTCAATTATTTAGAAAAAAATTTGATAATATTCTACGCAAACATTTAATTGTTTTCATAAAAAAATAAAAATTTGCCAGGAATTCAATTATTTACAAATTTTTTATAAATTTCTTCGCAATAATTCAATTTTTAAAGATAATTCAATTATTTTCGTAAAAATTAAAATTCTTTTTCTCAATTATTTGCATAAATAATCAAACTCATCGCAGAATTTCAATTATTTTTAATTCAATTTTAATCAAATTTCTCGAAAAATGTAATTATTTAAAAAAAAATTTATTAAAACTAGTCCAAAGAATTTAATTATTGAAAAATTTGTTGATAAAATTATAAGAATTCAATTTTAAAAGAAACATTCAATTATTCAATAAATTATCCAAGTTTGTATTTAAATAATTGAATTCTCGTTGATTTTTCTATTAAAAATTGATTTAAAAATTAATTTTAGTTAAAGTATTAGATAATAATTGAATTTTGGAAAAGTTACAAATGACTGCAGATTCAATTACATTAAAAATTTAAAAAAATTTTAGTCAAAATTTCAATTATCTTTAGAAATATTAAATTTTCTTTTACGAAATTCAATTATTTTTAAAAACTTTTAATTCAATTTTTGTCAAAATTTCATTTATTTTCAAAAAATTTCCTCCATTAAATGATTTTCAATATTTATTATTTGAATAAAATTTTTCAAAAGAATTCAATTATTTAAAAAAAATTTGATAAAATTCTACGCAAACATTTAATTATTTTCATAAAATATAGTTAAAATTTCACACGAATTCAATTATTTACAGAATTTTCTTATAAATTTCTTCGCAATAATTCAAATATTTTTAGAAATAATAAATTTTTTAATTCAATTATTTTCGTGAATACTAACATTCTTTTTAGGAACTGTATTATTTTCAAAAATAATAGAATTCATCGCTGAATTTAAATTATTTTCAAAAATTTTCCTCCATTAAATGATTTTTAATATTTATTGTTTTAATAAATTTTTCAAAAGAATTCAATTATTTAAAAAAAATTTGATAAAATTCTACGCAAACATTTAATTATTTTCATAAAATATAGTTAAAATTTCACACGAATTCAATTATTTACAGAATTTTCTTATAAATTTCTTCGCAATAATTCAAATATTTTTAGAAATAATAAATTTTTTAATTCAATTATTTTCGTGAATACTAACATTCTTTTTAGAAACTGTATTATTTTCAAAAATAATAGAATTCATCGCTGAATTTAAATTATTTTCAAAAATTTTCCTCCATTAAATGATTTTTAATATTTATTGTTTTAATAAATTTTTCAAAAGAATTCAATTATTTAAAAAAAAATTGATAAAATTCTACGCAAACATTTAATTATTTTCATAAAATATAGTTAAAATTTCACACGAATTCAATTATTTACAGAATTTTCTTATAAATTTCTTCGCAATAATTCAAATATTTTCATAAATAATGCATTTTTTAATTCAATTATTTTCGTGAATACTAACATTCTTTTTAGGAACTGTATTATTTTCAAAAATAATAGAATTCATCGCTGAATTTAAATTATTTTCAAAAATTTTCCTCCATTAAATGTTTTTTAATATTTATTGTTTTAATAAAATTTTCCAAACGAATTCAATTATTTAAACAAAATTTAATAAAATTCTACGCAAACATTTAATTATTTTCATAAAATATAATAAAAATTTGCCAGGAATTCAACTATTTACAAATTTTTTATAAATTTCTTCCCAATAATTCAATTATTTTCGTAAACACTAAAATTTTTTTAAGAAACTCAATTATTTTCATAAATAATAAAACTCGTTGCAGAATTCAATTATTTTTAATACAATTTTAATCAAATTTCTCCAAAAATGTAATTATTTTAAAATTCTTTATTAAAATTCGTCCAATTAATTATTTAAAAATTTGTTGATAAAATTCTTAATCAGAATTGAATTTTAAGAAATATTCAAGTAGAATTTTCTAATAAAAGTTGATTTTCATTTCATAAAAATGAATTTCAGTTAAAATTATAGATAAATAATTGAATATTAAAAGCAATATAGCGTGAATTTTAAGAAATAATTGAATTTTGAATATAATTTTTTTTTAAAAGTTGAATTGCGGATTTTTTTTGAAAGTATTTAGTTTTTATTTTTTAATACATATATTTAATTGAAGAATTTATGAATAATTGAAATTTCGTAAAATTGAATATTGTAAACAAATGAATTTGAAAATTGTAAATGAAGTTTGGCGAAAATTATAAAAAATAATTGATGAAAGAAGATTTAAAAGAGAGGGAAAAAAATATCCAAACATGTATTTTTAGGTGAAAAATTTCGTCGCTTGTGAAAATGAATTTGCTTTTATAATAATGGTCATCACGCTTAGATGGTGGACATATTTGCATAAGTGACTTATGGTTGACGCAGATATTACACCCCATTCCATTTTGGGGGATTCGAATATCTTTGATGTGACATTTGCGCGGGAGGGTTTTATAAATGAGGCTGCTCACCACTTATAACGAACCAGTGTTGAATATCATGTGCGATCTTATGTCAACATCGTGTTACACCATTTCGAGTGTTTACATAAAAAAACCAATTTTTATTCATGATTTTAATAATTATTATGAATATAGAAATGAAAAAGTAGAATTTTTACTAATTTTTGAAAATAGCAATACGTTTATAATCCTGGCTAATTATTATAATAGTCAATTTTAGTTATTAAAAAACTGATTTACTTTAAATGAATATCAATACAATTTTAATTTGTAGCCTTTTAGCAATTTTAGTTAGTTTTAGAAAACAATTACAAATCCTCGAAATGGAACTATTATTTTTAATTAAATTTTATATATTTTTTTTGTTTGTAAATTGACGAATTGTTGTAGCGGAAAATAATTAATTGAAAAAATTAAATATACATGAAGCGTATAATTAAATTTTAAAAAAGTATGCTTTTGACATTTAATTTTTATCAGATAAGGCAAACGTCACCTGAATGTATAACAGATAACGAAGCTTGTGACAGTTCACGTCTGTTATTCACAGTCTGTAGACGTTTTCAGTTTAAAATTCAATATTGTGTCAATTTTCAGAATTAAAATTCAAAAGGGTTTGAATATTTGAGAGAATTGTGCACAAAAATATCGTAGGTAAGAAAATTTTTTAAGAAAATTAGTTAGAATAACCAATACTTTAATATTTGAATTTTTTATTAATATTTGCAGAAGAAAAGTTTATTAATATAAAATGGTATACAAGGAAAAAAGTAATGTAATCCATATTTGATAAAAACACATTTTTTCGTAGTGATTAAACTGAATTTTTTTTTATTTCCCAACAATTCACAGACAGAGATAATTTGGGTAATTCTTTTTCAAAATTTGTTTGTAATTTTTAAACTTAGATAATAAATACAGGAAAGTCAAGTCGACCTTCTTTGAAGGAAAAAAAATTAATCTAATCTTTCATTTATTCATTTTATTTTGATAAGAAAAAATTGTATATTTTTTTTTTGGAAAATTTTTAACTTTTTTCTCTCTTTGTGCAGAAAAAATGAACCATTTGTATCCGAGTTTAGAGGATAAGTTTCGAAATGAAGGCGTCTGTCCAATTTGCATGCAGGAAATGGATCTCACACCAAAATTTTCATGCGTGAATAATCATGTATTGTGCTATCGTTGTAAACCATATTATTTCTCTTGTCCAAAATGTCGTGCACCAATTAATGTTCAAATTGCACCACGAGAGGTGAATTCCTTCAATCCACCAGCACCTCCGGTTCATCTAATGCCACACCCAATGCCACGAACTCCATATCCAACAACTCAAATGCCAATAACAATGCCAATGCCCAGTGCACCATCGGAGGTTGATTTTCATTTTCACGAAAGACAAAATTGGCAACCCGAACCGCCAACGGAGCATCAGGAATTGTTACCATGTTCCTATTCCCATATGGGATGTTGGGTCAAATTCCCAGAACACTTGAGAGAAATTCACGAGTCCAGGTAAATTGATAGATTATATTTTTTTTAAGGGGATGAGGGTAGACCATAGTTGTAATTTTAGCAAAATCGATTATTTTTTTTGCATTTTCTTGTTTTTATCAACTTTATAGATTTTTCCAAGGAGTAGGGATGACGTGAATAGGAAAATTTCATTTTAACTCTGAATGTGTAACAGGAAACGTTGAGTGTTTCTTCTGGGCGCAAAAAATCAGAAAATGAAACCCTATATTCTTTCGCAAGAATAATAACAAGTTTCATGCAAATTTGAGCAAATTCGAAAAATATATCAGCCATATTAGATCCGCCATTTTGAATTTTGATAATCTGACTTCATATTCGTAATCAGCGATCTTGAAAACCCCTGAGTGACAAGTTTCAAGCGAATTTGAGCAATTTTGAGAAAAATGGCCGCCATATTGAAACCGCCATTTTGAATTTTGAAAATCTGACATCAGATTCATAATCAGCGACCATAAAAACCCCCTAGTAACAAGTGTCAAGAGAATTTAAGTAATTTTGAAAAAAAAGTCCGCCATATTGGATCCGCCATTTTGAATTTTGAAAATCAGACTTCAGATTCGTAATTAGCAGGACTCGAACCAGTGAAAGTATTTAAAAATACGGACTCTACGAACCAAAAATGAAAAATTATGGACTATTTACGAACAAATTCTTACAGACAAAAATATAACCAGTTCGAGTCCAATAAGAGAACATTAAATTTTTTCATAAATATAAAAAATAGCCCGTGATAAAATTATGTTTTTATATTATAAGAAGATTGTTACTGTAACTTATTCAAAATTGATCATTTCAATTCAATTATTATTTTCAAGGATTTTAAACTAAAATTCTTCTTTCATCAATTATTTTTAATAATTTTCGAATAAAAAGTTATTTGTCAATTTTCAAATCCATTTCTTTACAATATTCAATTTTACAAAATTTCAATTTATTCTTAAATTCTTCAATTATATTAGAAAATAAAAACTTTAAATAATTTCAAAAAAAAAAAAAAAAATCCGCAATTAAATTTTTCCAAAAGAATTAATTTCAAAATTCAATTATTTCTTAAAATTCACCCTAAATTGCTTTTAATTTTCAATTATTGTCTAAAATTTTTACTGAAATTCATGTTTAAATAAATTGCTATTAGAAAATTCTTCTAGAATTCAATTATTTGAATTAATAATATAAATAATTTATCGAATAACTCAATGTTTCTTAAAAATCCATTCTCATAAAGAATTTTATCAAAAAATTTTTAAATAATTAAATTCTTTCGACGAATTTTAACAAAATTTTTAAGAATAATTACATTTTTCGAGAAATTAGATTAAAATTGAATTAAAAAAAATTAAAATTCTGCGATGAGTTTTATTATTTTTAAAAATAATTAAGTTTCTAAAGAGAATTTTAGTATTTACGAAAATAATTGAATTTCTTTGAAAATTTTATTATTTATGAAAATAATTGAATTAATGAGAGGAAATTTATAAAAAAATTTGTAAATAATTGAATTCCTGTGAAATTTTTATTATTTTTTTTAAATAATTAAATGCTTCCGTAGGATTTTATCAAATTTTTTTTAAATAATTGAATTCTTTTGGAAAATTTTAATAAATGAAAAAATTTAGAAATCTTTTAATGGAGGAAATGTTTTGAAAATAATTGTAATTTTGCGATGTGTTTTATTATTTTTAAAAATAATTGTGTTTCTAAAAAGAATTTTAGTATTTACAAAAATAATGTAAGTATTATCAAGAACTTTATAAAAAAATTATAAATAATTGAATTCCTGTGCAGTTTTTATTATTTTATGAAAATAATTAAATGTTTCCGTAGGATTTTATCAAATTTTTTTTAAATAATTGAATTCTTTTGGAAAATTATATTAAAATAATAAATATTAAAAATCATTTAATGGAGAAAAATTTTTGAAAATAATTGAAATTTTGACAAGAATTTTATTAAAATTTGTCGAAAATAATTAAATTTCGGAGAAGAATTTTAATATTTCTAAAGATAATTGAAATTTTGAAGAGAATTTTTAAAAAATTTTTTAACGTAATTGAATTTTTGCGAAGAATTTTATTACTTTTGAATTTGAATTTGAATTTGAATTTGATGAATTTAGAAAAAATATCCGCCATATTGGATCCCCCATTTTGAATTTTGAAAATCAGACTTCAGATTCGTAATCAGCGACTCTGAAAACTCCCGAGTAACAAGTTTTATGCAAATTTAATCAATTTTCAAAAAAGTATCCGCCATATTGTATCCGCCATTTTGAATTTTGAATGTTTGACTTCAGATTCGTAATCAGCGACTTCGAAAACCCCAGAGTAACAAGTTTCAAACGAATTTGAGTAATTTCGAAGAAAGTGTCCGCCATATTGGATCCGCCATTTTGAATTTACTTTTAGATAATCTATTTGTTAGAAAATTTCGTAATTTATAAAAAAAAATGCTTGAAAAAGATCTGTTTCCTTGTTACAAGTGGTGTACCCCCCTTAATCATTTAAGGGGGGTTTTTAAACTATTATGACGTCACAATTTTGTTGAAAGCATTTGTTTTAAAATTGTGACGTCATATTGATTCAAATTCCCTTAAATCAGTAAATCATCTTTTCTGCAAACGTATGTAACAATGATGAAATCTTTTATTGTTCCAGATGTCAGTACCATAATGCATCAGGAGAAAATATTGGCGACTGTAGATACAAAGAAGCAGGCTGCAATATTCAACTCCCAGTTTCTAAGCTAGTATCCCACGAAAGTGATTGTTCATACAAAGGAAGATTTGAAGAAATGGAGAACTTACGTTCCTCAATGGGAGACATGTCCCTAAATCGTGATCCAAACGAAATTGTTGATTGTAAATACAGAAATGTTGGTTGTATGGTTAGAATGCCATTTCATAGGAAGAGGCAACATGAGGAGAAATGCAATCACCGAGCCGACGACGATGATGATGATTCCGATGAAGTGTACCACGATCCAGATGAATTAGTTAATTGTAGATTTAGGGATCGCGGCTGTATGGTGAGAATGCCCTTTAAAAGGAAAGGAATACATGAGGAGAAGTGTAATCATCGTGATGGGGATAATTACAGCGATGATAATGATGATTCCTGCGTTTACTATGAAGATCCAAATGAACTGGTCGATTGCAAATGGAAAATGTACGGATGTAGAGTTAGACCAAAATCATCGTACAGAGAAATCCATGAAGGGAAATGCAATTACAAGCAAGATGAATGCTCCTACAGGGATTATGGATGTCCAGCGAATTTTCATTCTTCGCAGAGATTCGCTCACGAAAGATCATGTCGTTATGCTCCCTAAAACTATAATTCAGTTTTTTTCTTATGTTTTAATAATTTAAGGGTCTAGAAATATATTTTTTTGGAGAATTTTGCTAAAGAGGAGAAAAGTAGTTTAGACCTCTGCAGTCTTTGGAATATTTTTGTATTTATTTAAAGTGTTTGCAATAAATTTTTGGACAAAACATTAAGACACTGGAGTTAAAGTAATTTATTGATTGCGTTGCAGTTCTAAAACGATGATGATGGTGATGATGATAATGATGATGATGGTTAAAATTATTTGATGATTCTAACCGTTTGATGAGTAAAACTCACTTCTTTAGAGAAAAAAAGTACCAATCTTGGACACATTTTGCACTTTCGATATTCATTCTATTAAACCCGAAATTATCCTCCAATTATGCAAAATACCTAATATGCATTTAATAAGCTCCCCTACGTGCCGATATTAATTACGCTTAATTTCTCATTATTATAATAACCCATTTCTGGAAATTCCTTTCTAAAAAGCAATCACTGAATTTCAATAATCGAAAAAAAAAATTAAATTAAAACTCAAGAATGAATATGGAAAAATTATTCTTTTACTGTAGTTGTGGTACTTGACATTGAGTGTATTTTCCTGAAGATAGTTGGGGGATAAACCTCATAGGTTAGAGAGAGAGGATGATCGCCTAGGAATAAGGAAAGGAATGGTCGGAGTGAGATATCTAACACCTGGAGGCTAATGGTACAGTTTCTCTCCCTTCATAGTACGGGAAATTTCAGACTAAATGACACATCTACGTTTACATTGCCTATTTGTGACAACGACATCAACGTGATGTGAAACAAAATCCACTTATACACGCTGTCATTTTCATCATATAAATTGCTTCGACGCCTTTTTATTGCCCAGAGGCTTCTATCGCCGAAAGAGCAAAAAAAAAAAAACCAAAAAAACTTTAATGCTTTTATTAATTTTTATATAACAGACATATGCGATGTATCAGAGATTTTTTTTATTTTTAACACATTTACTTTTGACAGATAAATTGTAATTTATTCTCCAATTAAAAGTTACATTATTTGAAAAATCGAAACAAGTATTTTTTTTACAAATATTTATGACTTTTTTATTTTTACTCACAATTTTCACTACGGCAATATTTTTCAATTATTTTAACCATTTCGTGCTCCTAGGAAACCCAGTGGGTGGATTTCGTTGAAACTTGTTACTCGGGGGTTTTTGGGATCGCTGATTATGAATCTGAAGTCAGATTTTCAAAATTCAAAATGGCGGATCCAATATGGCGGACATTTTTTACAAAATTGCTCAAATTCGCTTGAAACTTGTTACTCGTGGGTTTTAGGGAACGCTGATTACGAATCTAAAGTCTGATTTTCAAAATGTAAAATGGCGGATCTAATATGGTGGATAATTTTTTCAAATTTGATCAAAATTCGCTGTAAATTAATTTGGTGTTTTGTTAAATAAAAAGGACAATTTTCAAATCTATTTCTTTAAAATATTCAGTTTTACGAAATTTTAATTAATCGTTAATTCTTCAATTAAATATATATTAAAAAATAAAAACTTTAAGTAATTTAAAAAAAAAATTATCAATTAAACTTTTCCAAAAACTGAAATTTATTTTTAAACCAATTTTTATCAGAAAATTCTAATAGAATTCAATTATTTAAATACAAAAATAAATGATTTATTGAATAATTAAATGTTTCTTACAATTCAATTCTCGTAAAGAATTTTATTAACAAATTTTTAAATAATTAAATTCTTGCAACGAATTTTAATAAAAATTTTAAGAATAATTAATTTTTTTGAAAAATTCGATTAAAATTGTAGTATTAAAAATAATTTCCCTGATTTCCAGACAAAATTTTGACTTAAGATTTTCAAATTCAATAACCTATAATAAATTTAAGATGAGAAAATAATTTAATTCTTGCAACAAATTTTTTTAAAGATTTGAATTCCTATGAAAAAAGTTATTTGTGAAAATAATTGATTTCTGGAAAAAAATATTATTATTTATGAAAATAATTAATTTCTCTTGTAGAATTTTATTCAAATTTTTTTAAATAATTGAATTTCTGATAATTTTTTAAAACTTTTTGAAAATAATTAAATTCTATAGAGAAATTTCATTAAAAAATTAAAAATAATAAAAAAAAAAATTAAAAAAATTAAAATAATAATAAATAAATAATAATAATAAATAATAATAATAATAAATAATAATAATAATAAATAAAACAATAAATAATAATAATAATAATAATAATAATAATATTTTTTTAATAAATAATAATAATAATAATTAAAATAATTAAAATCAGACGAAGAATTAAAAAAAATTTTTTTTTAAATAATTGAATTCCTTTGAAAATGTTTATTTTTGAAAAAAATAGAATTCTTAGGATGAATTCTGTTTAAAATTTTTTAAATAATTGATTTGCTTAGAAGAATTTTATTTTTTACGAAAATAATTGAATTGCTACGAAGATTTTTACAAACATTTTTGTCAATAATCAATTTTATTATTATTTTTTAAATTTATATAAACCATTTCATCAAATTTTTTTAAGTAATTCAATTCTCGAAAAAATTTTATTATAATATGAAAATAATTGATTTCTTGCGAAGAACTTTATTCCAATTTTTTCAAATAATTGAATTCTTAAGAAGAATTGTATTAAAAATAATTGAATTGTTTAGGAAAATTTTATTAAAATTTGCAATTTTATTAACTAAATCTTGTAAGAATTTTTGTTAACATTTTTTTAGATAATAGAATTTTTAAAAGAATTTTATTTAAATTTTTCGAAATAATTGAATTTCGCAGAACTATTTTCTTCAATTCTCTGAATATATTTGAATTCTTTTAAGAAACTTCAGTATAAAATTAAAAATAATTGAATTGATTTAAAAAAATTTATATAAGAAATTGGTGAATAATTGAATTCCTGTGAAACTTTTATTAAAATTTTATTTAAATAATTGAATGTTTTTGAAAAATTATATTAAAATAATAAATATTAAAAATAATTAAAATGAGGAAAATTTTTGAAAATAATTGAAATTTTGTCAAGAATTGTATTAAAATTTTTGAAAATAATTGAATTTCGGAGAAGAATTTACGGACAAATTTATGGATCTTTACGGGATTTACGGACAAAATAATATTAATTTGTTTTTATATTTTTATCTTCCATTGATCGAATTTAATTCTCGTTTTAAATTAATATTCCTTTTTCCAGCAATAGATTAAAAATTGAATAAAACAATTTTCTCCAATATTTAATTAAATTAAACAAATTGAATTCGGGAGTATATGAATTTATTGAAAACATCGAGGAATCGATAATTTTATTTGTACAATAAATTGTTTTCAACACATATAATAAAATCAACAAAAGGTTCTGTTAGCTCTGTTATTTCATCATTGATGAGTACATAATCAGCAGATTCCCTTTTTTCGATTGTAGAGAAAAAAAAGAAGAAGAAGAAGAAGAAAAAGTCTCACCACCACGCGGGAAATCTTGAAATTCCCCAGAGAATTTGGATTCCAAGTCTTCGAAACTAAATAAATATCGAATGACTGAAGAGAAAAATCTCCCTCTGCTGGGTCGTCAGGTCTATTACGATGAGCAAAGGGTCAGGAAACTTTGGCGAATATTTCGATGTCTCAGAGATGGACAAAGAGAAATGGGAAATACTTTACATGGGAAAATTGAAAGAGATGGGTTCAACTTCCTTCTTGGGTATAGAAAATAGTCCTAAACAGATAGACTCAAGTTTATTGAATCAAACATTTAAAAGTTTATGTCTACAATATTTCTTTTTACAATCAAAACATTTTACATCAAAAAATTTTATATTTAACATACTTTATAATATTAGATGTCTGAAAATAGAAATAATTTTGTAGGTTTTGTATTTTTATCCTTGACAATTATTAGTTTTAAGAAAAAAAAGATCATTTACACTATTAAGAAATGATAGTAAGTATAAATATTATGCTCGAATAAGTTTATGGCAGAAAAGCAATTATCGAGGCAGCTCTCTAGCAGCTTCACTTTCTCTGGATTAATTTCCATCTTGCAACGAGGGATCGAGGCAAAATAGTATCTCAAGGGGGCCACAACCAAAAGACACAACTTTAATTAAAAGACAGGTGCTTTCTTGAATTGTCTTAATTTCTTCCTATACAATTCAATAAAAGTACGAATCAACAAACTATTAGACAAATATTTTGATTCATGATAGTTGCAACAGTTTATTAATACCTCTTTTTTTTAATATAATTGAAAATATTACAAAATTTATTTACAATGCAGACAAATTGAAGAACTTTTACAATGTGAACTTGAAAAATAAAACTCCTTATCATAAAACTTGCTTTCTGACATTTGTTCATAAATCAATAGATGAAAAAAGTATCTTCATTGGTAAATAATTGTCGTTGCTAGGACGCGAAGGAACAAACACAAAAGAAAACAAAGTAGGTGGAATTCAACTTGACATAACATGGTTAGTACAATTGGAAACCTGTAAACTTGTAAGTTAATTTTTTTCAGTATTTACTAGTTTCGTTGTCATCTAATTTTGCCTTTTATTACAGAGACATCCAAGAATGAAGCTGAAAATTATCTTTTATGTTTTCCTAATTCTGGTGATTTTGGAAATTAGCCAAAAGAATTATACGAACTGTTCAAAAACTAACCTAAGCAAACTAAACAGATCATCAAAATGGTTACAAAGAATCATAACGTCAATCAAAAAGGATCCAAAAGTCTACCAATTATTCTTGATAACAAACAATGAATTCGTGGATCATGAAGTGGTTCGAGAAATACAGAAAAATCTACCAATTCTGTACTTTAGTGACAGTTACACAAGACAAAAGATTCAACACTTTGAGCAAAGGAATTCCTTGAGCAATCCAAGAGATACATTGTTTGTTATTGACGAATCGGTACAAAAAGATAATATGGAATGGATAGAGGAAATGATGACATTCATTAAAAACCTGACGAATGTTCGTATTCGACCTAAATGTCTAATTCTTCGCTACTTAGATTCCAACAAAAGGCTGAATTACAAAAACTTTCTGCAAAAGATGTGGGGAGATTTATTTCTAGATCTGACGATTTTGGACGTTACTAAACATGGAGCAACGGTTCA